TCTACAAATTATTGCATGAGATCAGAAGAAAAATCGGCAAAATTTTCAGTTAGAAATGCCCAAGATTTTCTTGGTAAATTTGCGGTTTGTGCAAAGAAATTTGGTCTTATTGAGATATAGTTACGCTCTTTTGGAAGGGCGACGACAAAATGTTGATCATAGAGTTGATCAATTGGATTAAATTTTGCAATAAGGAGCCACGATTCCTGGCCCATTTTAGAAACGACGTACATATCATTGGTTTCCCTATGCAGATATGTGTTTTTATGGAAGAGCCAGAAATAGTGGTTCCTTATTGCAAAACGTAATTCAATTGTTTCAACAGTCTAATTTCAATAGTTTATTCTAGTTTCAATGATCTAAGTTGAAAAAACATGCCCAACAAAGCCCTCACCCCGGCAATATCATGCAGTCATCAATAGGCGAATTCTGCTTGCTTTTTTCCCCAACAAGTTGCTCATCAATAATCATCAGGCAGCGTTGACTTCCGAACTTTATCTCTACCTCACCCAATAATATTGGTTAGATTGTTAATGCAAGGTTTCGAAAATATGTTGTTTCTGCATCTAGTAGTGCAGCCCACTCTGTCTGCGTGTAGGAAAGCTTTTATAACGAGAGAAGCTCTGCTTTCTGCAAAAATCAGAATATTATTATGTTTATAATATACTTACTGGATGCCCCGTGGTTTAACCCGCAAACTACAGAATCGTGTTTCATGGATCAAAATAAGACTTTTTCCCCCCATAAATTTGTTCCCAAAAGTGCACCCATCCGGATTTGCGCCACCCCCCAATTTCTTTCGAAATAGTAATAAAACTTTTTCTGAATGTTGGTGATGGTTTCACGAATGTCCTCGGAAAAATTAAAATCTCAAGTCAAAGAAAGGTTTCCGGAAGTTCTTAAGGGGGATCAAGTACCCAGCATGTTTTATTAGCATAATTTTGTAAAAATCATAATAGTAATGTTATTAAAATAATTTAAAGTTTTAAAAGATTTTGGCAAAACTTACTAAAATATTTGATTTAATTTAAGTGCAGTAAAAATAAAAAAGACTCAAAAAATATGTATGAACATGAGGTACCCAACCACTGACTACGGGCCGCGCTAGATTGTGCATCACTGTATCATCATCAACAAGCTATCGATTCTTCCAATGGTTTCATACGGTGCACTCAAACAAATATCGAACTTCGATTCAAACTGACGCTCCACCATAAACATCCATTGAAATATATCGATCGAGACATGTTAGGTGCGAGGGATCGAAACGGCGACCGCGTGGAAAAAAGTCTATCCGTTCACCGGTCCTCGGCAGAGTTGGACAAACATCAACTGTTTGCGGAGCGTTCATGCTGGCGCTGTTGTATTGTTTTTTCGATACCCCCTCCCCACCCGCCCTACCCCGGCGCTTCGCCTGAAGACAGAGCCACAGACTTCACACTCGACAAAAGTACAGTTAAGATATGTAGCAAGCCTAAGCAAATCCAAACACACAGAGGAGCAAAGAGCGCGAAAGCGTCGGACGTGGAAATGATCGAAGGAAAAAGGATCATCGTAGAACATGACACGGCTTCCTAAAACTATCATAGAGTTTTAACACACGGTCTCATGCAGATCTTTAGGGTCCTGAAATTTACGTTTTAAAGCAAAACAGGGCAAACGGTCATATTTGAAAGGGAAATAATAATTTTGAACTATTTTACTGTTAACACACGGTCTCGTGGAGACCTTTAGGGTCCTGAAATTCACGTTTTAAAGCAAAACAGGGCGAACGGCCATATTTGGGAGGGAAATAAATATGTTGAACTAGTAATTTACCGCTAGCACACGGTCTTATGGAGACCCTCAGGGTCCGCAAATTCATATATTAAAACAAAACAGGGCAAACGTCTATGCCTGGAAAGAAAATAATAATGTTGAACCATTTTACTGTTAAACTTTCATGGGAAAAACCTCCTAGGCTAGTTTGGCTGGGTATAGGAAAAAATCTTCCTAGACTAGTCTGACTGGGTGCAGAGACGATCTATCATACTTTAGAAACTTTGCATTGATGTCCTACCCATAATGTAGAGGTATTACCATTATTTCGAAAGTCAAGACTCAGATTCACCTGATGATGACTGAGTAATTACTCCAGTCATTCTGAAAAAAAAAAAAAAAAAAATAGCGTTGACCTCAAAATTCAGCCTTTGCTTTGCCCAGTTACATTGTTTAGATTTTAAGTGCAAGGTCTCGAAAGTATATTGTCTCTAGTTTGCTACAACCGTGAATGATAAAGCTTACATAGTTTTACAGAATCAAAATTAATTTGAGTATATTTTCAATCTTTTGCTTGCTAGTTAAAAAATTTGCTCAGTATTTTGAGAAAAAAAATTAAAATGGAATCAAAATAAAACCCAAAAACTAACATGAAGTGCATTTAGTCGTGAATTCATAGAAAATTCATTAGAAAGAAAGATGCATACCACTTTATGATTACAGGATAATAGAATCAGGGCAGGATTTACCTACTTGCCGCCCATGCATGGGCCGCCTGTATTTTGCCGCCCCCTTCTCATTCGATTTGAAACATCAATAAAAACCATTAAGTGACCGTGCCAGCGGGGGTGGGGTGCATAAGACGCGTTTACTCGTGTTGGAAACATTTTTCGGGAAAGCTGTGTCAACACTACATACATATAAGTCGCTTTACAGCACACTGTGTCAACACTACTAGCAAAAATTCACCGAACTTAGTGCGAACGTTAAGTTTCGTAAACCTAACTCTGCGTGGACCAGGCCTTCCATTCATAGGAAATGAATGAAAACATTATGAAAGAACAAACATAAATGTGATTTAATGATTTTAACTTCCGCCGCCGCGCCGCGCCGACCGCACCGTGCATGGAGCAATGCGTGAGGTATTCCGACAGTTTTGTAGGCGCTATGAGTTTCACGCCGACGACCGCTGCTGAACGCACTGTGTTTGACGCAATGCGTGAAGTATTCATGCAGTCTTGTAGGCGCTATGCGTTTCACGCTGACCGCACTGTGTTTGGCGCAATGCGTGAAGTATTCTTGAATTCTTGTAGGCGCTATCCGTTTCACGTTGACCGCAGTGACCGCACTGTGTTTGATGCAATGCATGAAGTATTCGTGCAGTCTTTTAGGAATGTAGGCGCTAATATGTGTAATATGCCGACCGCCGCGCCGAGGGCTTCTCCTTTTCATCTCAAGTCCTCGTCATCATTTCTCTCTCAGTCTACTCTCAGTTCCTGGGCGTGTTTGCTCTCTCTCAACTCGATTAATTAAAGGTGCTGTCTCTTGCATCACCGGAAGACGACAAAATTAAAAATTACTATATTCTCAAGAAATGAGAGATTTTGTTTGTAATTTTTTTCTAAATCAGATTTTTTTTTATACCTACATTTAAAAAATTGCAAAATTTGCCGCCTCCTAGATTTGCCGTCATGGGCCGCGGCCCATGTAGCCATCCCCCTTAGTCCAGCAAACACTATTCTATCATAGAATAGTGTTCTATTTTATCATAGAATAGTGTTCGCTGAGGGGAACATTACAAGAGAGGCAAGCTGGAGGGAGGCATTTCTTAATTGGCGGGTGAAGGGGTGAAGTGTGTCCAATGCACAGCCTTATAGGTTTTACTTGATCCACACGTGCTAGACCAGAAAATGGAAAAAATATTTATACTGGAGAATTCTTATGTTGCCAGTACACTGCCCACTTTTGTTGCCAATTCTTGGAGATTTCAGTCTTGATCCTATGTATGTATTGATGTTGTTGTTGTTAGATAGTATTTACGCACACACGCATGCATGGACGTATTTCTATCAAACAGAATTATGTGCAGAGGGAAAGATGGAGTGTGCTCGTTCATACTCGGACCAAAAGAATGAATGAAAAATACAAAGCGCCAGTGACGTCAGCGGCAATCACGAGAGGAAAGACGATCATGAAGGCGGTCTTAAACTCATGAGCCCTGTCCACAAGGCTCTAGATACATGCCCACGGCTCATGGGTGCCGCGCTTAGTTGGCTCACAGTTCCGTTAGCTGAATTGGAGAAGCGGGATTTCACGTTCTGTCAAACGGAACCATGTGCACAGTGTATGAGCCGTGGGCATGTATCTAAAGTCTTGTGGACAGGGCTCATGAGTTAAAGACCGCCTTCTCGATCGTCGTTTCTCTCGTCGTTGCCGCTGACGTCACTGCCGCTTTATATTTCCCATTCATTCTTATGACCCGAGCACGAACGAGCACACCCCATCTTTCCCTCTGCACATAGTTCTATTCGATAAAATACGTCCGCATGTATGTATGTATGATGTTCAACCATTTGAAAATGGATTGAATTTTCCAAAAAGGAACCAAGAGCATTCCAATGTCGCTAAGATTGTGCAACTTCGTTTGCCTTGCAAATCTAAACAGATTCTCTAGACAAAGTTTATCATTACTCCCAATAAACTATAACTTCAAGACAAAAATGGACGTATTTCTATCAAACGGTACTAAGCGCCAATTTGAGTTCCTATTGAGGAATTTAGAATGTCGGATAGCGCGTTCTATCAAACGGACCTAAGCGCCATGGAAAAGCATTGCGAGTATAGGACGGAATAAGCCGGACGCCCGATTCCGCCGCCAATCCAAGCCCTCCCTCTACCTTCCTCACCCTATGGCGCTTAGGTCCGTTTGATAGAAATACGTCCAACTTACCTTTATAAATTTAATTTTTTGCGTGATTTCAGTATTTATATTGAAAGAATGTAAGTAACGCAACCTCAGAAACATTGGAATGCTCTTGGTTCCTTTTCGCAAAATGCAATCCAAATAATTGATATTATGGAAGACGACTTCCTACAAGTTGTGCTTGGTTTGTGTTCCATGTGACGGCTGGACAGGCGGGAAGGAGTGCGAGAGCCTGAAGCGGGTGTCCCAGGGCCCGGGTCACGGGGGCCCGGGGGGCCACGGGGGACACGGGGCGGCCGAGACGAAGCCGGGGGTGGGAGTGGGGGCGGAGCACCTGCTGGGGCACGGGGGGCACGCGGGGGCCCTCCGCGTGGCCTCCTACGAGCACGGCGGGAACATCCAGCCGCCGCTGGGGGCCCAGGTGAGCCACGGGCACGGGCCCGGCGGCGGCGGCGGCGGCGGGGACGACAAGCCCTCCAAGCAGAAGCGGCACCGCACCCGCTTCACCCCCGCACAGCTCAACGAGCTCGAGCGCTGCTTCTCCAAGACCCACTACCCGGACATCTTCATGAGAGAGGAGATCGCCATGCGCATCGGACTCACCGAATCCAGGGTCCAGGTAACAACACTTCTATTTCTAACCGTTCATCCGATAATGAGCATAGAGAAATCAAGGAGGTGTTTGCATTTCGGGCATCTTGGAATTGTTCGATGACGTGGGTCGGTACAGCGACGTTTATCATCGATTTTCTTGGAAATGGTGTAATTTATGGAAAAAAAGTCATTCTATAACAAGTGCTTGAAATTATATCATGAGTTGATTTAAGTAAAAAAATCGGACATTATGGTCCGTTTTTCATATTTCGAATTCTGGATTTCGCTGGCCAGGTTGTACCGACCTACGTCACGTTTTTCTCTATGGATAATGAGAGCTTTTTTACTTGAATGGCCTAGAGGACAAAGCGCATACGTGCAGTTTTTGACAAAATTGAGCTATTAATTATTTTTAGTAAAACTAGTCTTAATGCATATCCCGTGAAAAATTCGCCACCAAATTTCTAATTTTTAAGCATCAAAAAGTCATTTTGAACTTTTTTTCCTTCACAAGGATCCATGTAATTTCGAAAATTCAAACACGTATGGCTCGAAATAGCAAAAACTGCACTTATGCTCCTTGTCCTCCAAGACCCTCATTTTAACCTGGTTCTTGAATTTCAGTATACTAGATGCAATGCCTTCAAATGGAGCACCAGCTCAACAACAACATGGTGGAGAAGGGTCAAACATATTTAGAATAGATTAATCGATGATACGAGTCCCTAAACAAAGTGGCATCCTGCTGATGTATTTGATCCCTGTATGTGCATGGAGATCGATTAGATATAGAAAATATACCCTTAGCGAATCGTGGGGACCCTTCATTACGGTCTCAATTTTGAGAGCTTTTTTGAGCTTGGGAGTCTTTTACAGAGTCAATCCGATGCACCATCAACTTCTCGCAAAAATTCACATTAGAAAAAGCGGTCAGATAGCAAATCCCTCACACAGTTAAGGGGTCTATTAGAAATCGCCGACAATTTGCAAACCACCGGCGAGCAAATAGAAAAGCTTAATATATAGAAATAAAGAACAAGATTAGACTTCCTATTATTTTGCCTTCTATGTAAGAAGACACTTCCTCTGCCGCGAGAGCATGATAATATTTAGCACACTCAGGAGATTGTGAGGTGAAATCCGTGACCTTAGTTGGGTTAGCTTGGACATGCAACTAAACTAACTCCGTGACAAAGCGTAGAGTATCACAGAAATTGAAGGCGTTCCAATCTGAGATCGTGCTTTTGAAGACCACTACTCATCAAATCATTATCATACCGATACACATTATCGCGATTTATCGAAACAACTCGTGAACTGCTTGCAGATTTCCGGCGATTGTATATTGCCTGCGACAGTAATTATTCCAATTCAAACATTCTATTTCTCACCGTTATAAACACCATTCAAACTTCATTTACAATTTATTCAAATCAGGTTGTGTTGAAAACTAAATTGCGTCCTTGTGATGCACCAGGTGTGTGTGTCTGAGGAAGAGAATCACTTTTTGTAAAATGAACTACCTGAAGTGTGATTTACGCGCGGGAACTGATACCGAAAAGAGTAAACTTGCTTCAATATGATCTCCAAAGCAAACAGTCATAAAATTTAGCTGTTGGTGGTCCGTGTGGGATCCTTCTTGCGGCTATGCTTTCCCATCGTCGTTGCAAGATGGTGATATTGCCCCCAGTTAAACGCATCTAAAATATCCACATTTTATCCTGTCAACCGGCATCCTTTCATCATCTTTGGTGCCTCGTCAGCGACGCTTCCAACACGACGGTTTCGCTTTTATGTTTATTGCTGTTTAATCAGATAAGAAGAAAAACTGATTTTCGCCAATCGCTGAGAAAAAAGGAGTCAATTAGCCATACAAATTTAGTCAAATCAAAAAATGTAAAATTTGAAGCATCGGGGATCAAGCTCTGGTCGAGATGAAAAGAGAATTTGCAGGTGTCTGAAATTTCGTGAATCTCATCTTTAAGATGATACTGCTAGGAAAACTGAGAACTAGGATATCCTTGGTTTCCAAATTGGACAATTATTGGAGAAAATATCACAAAATAACCTAATCTGCTAAAATACATTTTTTTAAATGGAAAATGCCGCCAGATGATGTTATAAAGCGGCACATTTTCTCACTTTTAAATCTATTTTTCTATTTTTCCGTGTCAGAAACAAATTATGAAAACTACTGCGAACTCAGCGCATTAGGCACTCTCAGATGAAGCAATAAAATTTGTGTGTGCAAATTCTCCATTGGGCTATCGATAATTCCTCATTTGAAGCTATGATATAGAATTGATTATTATTTCCTCGTTGCCAGCACCCTGTTTATCGATCCTTTTCCATAGATTTAAATGGCAGATCAATCGATAAATCACACGGCTCGCCACGTAACTGATGCCGATTCACTTTTACATTATAAGAGCGACGCGACGCTCCGAGCGATTGGCTCAGTGGCCAGTGTAGTCCAGGCGCCTGGTAGCTAAAAATAAGGCTACCTGGAATTTTGTCCTTTTTCAGCCACGGCGATTCCTGGAACGGCGATTGGACCGATTAAGAGCGGTACGGAAGGGAATGGAGGTATATGAGACGTCAACTTCCTCGTTTCCTTTCTTGGAAACTGCACGGAATGGTCACTTGTACCTCTGAAAAAACTGAGCTTCCAACTTTTGCTCTCGGTCACTTAGTCCAGGCGCCTGGTAAGTCTACCTGGAATTTTGGGTACACAGCGATTTTTTTGGCTTACTTAAAGTTTTTTGGGTCGCTGAATCCGAATCTGAAGTTTCCGCACGCGTATCTGGTGAGCATTTTCCGCTATTTTGAAAAAATGGCCTAAAAAGGCCTTTTTTTGCGGTTTTTTTGATATAGCGGCTACGGATGAGGAAAAGTCCCGGATTTAGCTAATGTTTTGAATAGCTGACAAAATTTGGAAGAAAATGGTATATGAATATGCTAGGTTTGCTCAAAAATTGAGGAACCTCGGATTTCGGAACTTTAGAACGCTTCGGAACTTGGCTGACCGCGGCGAGCCGGATCGCGCGTTGAGGGGTGCGCCGCGCGAAAACATGAATAGGCGCGATGTTCACGATGCTGTATCTTCCTCAATTTTTAAGCAAACCTAACATATGTATACACCATTTTCTTCCAAATTATGTCAGCTATTCAAAACATTAGCTAAATCCGGGACTTTTCCTCATCCGTAGCCGCTATATCAAAAAAACCGCAAAAAAAGGCCTTTTTAGGCCATTTTTTCAAAATAGCGGAAAATGCTCACCAGATACGCGTGCGGAAACTTCAGATTCGGATTCGGCGACCCAAAAAACATAAAGTAGGCCAAAAAAATCGCTGTGTACCCAAAATTCCAGGTAGACTTACCAGGCGCCTGGACTAAGTGACCGAGAGCAAAAGTTGGAAGCTCAGTTTTTTCAGAGGTACAAGTGACCATTCCGTGCAGTTTCCAAGAAAGGAAACGAGGAAGTTGACGTCTCATATACCTCCATTCCCTTCCGTACCGCTCTTAATCGGTCCAATCGCCGTTCCAGGAATCGCCGTGGCTGAAAAAGGACAAAACATAGCTTGGAGTATGATGAGCACTCGAAACTTTCCGTCTCCTCACCCCAATGTCCAACCTCAATCGTCTGTCTCAAATTACGACTAGTTCCGCTCCTCAGTGGGACGAAAAAAGGTCAGGATGTTATGATCGATACGTAATTCGCTGATGACCGGGTCCATATTCTGCTGTGCCAAGGAAGAACGCCGTATGGACATTCGAGAGTTGCCAAATTTTCTTCGATTAAATGTTAATTTTTGAGGAATGTTTTGGATAATTTTCCTTGCAATTTTCAGAAACTCCATTTGCAGTTACGAACCAAATAATGTGTAAAATTGGAGGGGAAATATTCATAAGTTTACCAAAAAATTCCTGTTTTATCAAAGGAAATTTGGCAACGCCTGAAGGTTCATACGGCGTTTTTTTCTTAGAACGGCAGTATTTATCTCCGCAAATGTATGAGAGCTCACAAATTGAAGACCCTCGTAAACTTTTAATGACGAACAAGACGTTTTGAAGAGCTTTCATTGGAAAGGTGGTGACAAGAGTCATAAAGTCTGTGCCCCAGGAATTTTGCAGAAAGTAGGACTTGACCGTTTTTACTCATCGACTTGTGACGTAAATCATGGTCGGGTTAAAAAAAAAGGGATCAGAAACAGCTACCGTATACAAAGTTTTGTTGAGCTGTGCGCAACATATCCGCTGGATGGTCGTGTAATTCGCTACTCTGATCGCTTTTAAATCAGCTGAGTGAACGTGCAACTTGCTGCATACAACCATTGAGGCTCCTGAGTCCCTAATTTGGCCTACCTAAATTTTTGAAGACAAACCACAACGTTGGTCGCTTTTAAACTATAGACTGGTTGTGAGTGAACGGAGCAAACTTTGGCACGCAACAGTTCACGCACAATTCTTGGCTCTTACAGCCGAAATGAATTTCGTTGTTATGGCAGATTAGTTCATGTTCTAGTTGAATTAGCCGAATTTTGTAGAGAAATAGATGTTGAAAATTTAGTCGTCACTAGGAATTCAAGGAAAAATGATATATCTTCTCTCCCTGGAAACTCTGATAAAAAATACACACCTATATGTACACATACGTGCTCTTGATAATTAATCACTCACGCCTACACGACTCAACGAGGGCGTTTCAGAGAGTTTTTGGGAAACTTACCGGTTCTCAGCGATTGACTTTCCCGGGAAAATGATCCCTGTCCATTACTCACTGAGAAAAATTTTCTTGAGATATTATTTTGACTTGAACCATCGTTTCTTGTCAACAAATTTTGGTTTTTCTTAGTCAAAGATACGTTGCTTTGCTATCGTTTTTTAAACTTAAACTCAACGATAGCAAAACGACATTTTCTTAACTTTAAAAAACTGTCTTAAAGTTAAATCCGCCCGAATTCAACTTCAAAAAAACCTTTTTTGTCGGCAAGAAACGACGCTTTGAGTCAAGACAATATCTC